GAAATTCCTTTTGTTTTCCGAATTTTAAACGTTCCCATCATTTAGATCTTATTCCCTTTATTAATTAATTAATTAATTAATTGTTGTATTTCAGATAAAAGAACTTTATTGAGTGGTGTGTCAAAGTAGTTATTTTGTGTGTAGGATGGTGGAGAGTATGTATGTATGGCACATCCGGTGTCCATATGATATGTATCATTAGATGATAATATTTTAATGCTATATGTAGCTAATACTCATTTCATGGACTGCTATATGTGTAATATGCTCTTTTCATGAGTTAGTATTATTCAAAAGTTATAAGCTTAGCTTCTTTTGTTGTTGAGGTTGTTTTTTTACCTGATCCCCATTAAATAGTTCTTCATTCTCTCATGCCAATCTCTAGGGTTGAACTTATCTAATGCCATGAATTAGGATAGATTCAATTTTTTCTCGATCGTGATACATATGACCCTTAACCAATTCAACTTTTTCGTAAATGAGTTATATCGACAAGTCTTCACTTATGCTAGCTTCAAATCCTTCAATCCAAGGGTTGAAATGTTGAATAATTAAGTAAAAGGAAAAAGTATATACTACGTATATATTGACGCCTTTCTCCATGTAAAACATGTATATATAGGGGCGGAGGTGTGATGAGGATGATATTGACCGAACCAGATGGGGTCAACTTAGGCCTAGACTCACTCCAAATTATGTGGAATTTATCGAGCCATGCACCCATGGCCAACCGGTATAACTTTATATATATTAGTTAAATGCTGGAGAATGATGTTAACTAGTTACCAGTTAACTCAGAGAATACATATTTAAATTGCAAGTTGGAAAAATATCTGAATTCATTGATACAAGATATAAATGTTTATATATTTAATTTTAATAATTTTTAATTACTAGATAAATGTATACATACTAAAATTCATAGAATTTGGTTCAAATAAAAACACGATATAATACATGACCGAGAGAAATGATAATGACTATAGAGTGTTAAATTTGGGAATTGTACATTATGTGAAACAGAAATTTACACTACCATATATCAAAAATGCACATTTAAATTGTACATTATTGTAGTCATAAATGTACACCATAGAATCATAATGTGCACCTTGAAGCATAATATGTATCGCTTCAGACCGTACTCATTTGTCATGGGAAGTGTTTTCACAATAACTGAACCTTAAATATATACTACGTATCTAAAATGTATTTTAGTCCTTCCGTATTGGTTTATTTGTTACATTGAATATTTCACAGATTTTTAAACTGAAATAGTAGAGAAAGTGAATAGTTTGCAAACGGTAGAAGAGAAAGATGGAAAAATATGAAGATGATGACAAAAATTTAGAAAAGAATAAAGGTAATTGAGTATTTCTAAATGAAAAAAAGTACGAAAAATGAAAGTGTTAAATACATTGTTATACAAATTGAAAAGAAAGGTGTAACAAACAAACTAATAATGATGGGTTATTTTACATTTTTTTGACAGGAAAAATCGCTTACATTAATATCATTAGGATTTGAATCGCTACAACGTAACAAACTCAAAGAAACCAACACCTGTAACAACTATCTGTAACCAACTAGCATTATCAACCCTACGTCTAGACTTAGAAATAATCGTCCTGAAAGAGAAATATGAATCGCTAACCACCAAATGGGTGTGACACAACAATCACTGACCATATAGATCTTTCAACGACATAATATCTAACAGAATTGTCAATCATTATTGTAGACTTAAGACTAAAGACATTGACAAAAACCAGAGTAACGTAAACAAACATAACGCGAAAGAAAGACCATAAAACATAAAATAACTGCTGATAAATACTCCAACTTTCTTCATGCCAGTATTCTTGAAGTATCACCTTTCAAACCTGATCACCTCGATCGCTCCAGGGTGGCAGTTCAGGAGGGGGGTGAACCGCAAATCTGTCTTCTCCTTTGCTCAGGACTCGATCCGGAAATTTCCCACTCGAGCCCCCTCAATCGCCTCCACCCTGAGGTGAAATCCATCCAAACAAGACCCAATTCAGTCACCTCATCCATTTGTCTCCTGCACCCAACATAGTCCCAATCGCCCCCCTCTGACAGTCAAGCCGAGCAGAATCGACCAGGCGATTTCCCAATCGAAGGTATGAATCACAGACCTCCAGATTCGATACATATCAGCACGTTCGAAAGCATAAATCATAGAGAAGCAAACCATGGAAAGGCAAAGCGTGGTAACATCTGCCCTTCCATTGTCACTCCAAATCATTCGCCAGAAAAATAAACGGCGCAATCCGCCTGCCAGAAAAACAAGCCCTAGGCGAAAGTTTGGGGGAGAGGACCACAAAGAAACAGTGCAAGCCTCTACTAACTAATTTCATATGATAAAAACTTTGTCTCCACCGATCTTTAGGAAGCAGGAATCATTCTTCTAATTTGTGAGTCTACCATTGAAGAGGATAGGAAGACCACATGCCAGGTTTGATGGAGTTTTTTTTTTAGAGATTTTTCACAAAATAATGCTAAATAAAAAAATATTTACGAAAATAAGGTTGGATTAAAAATAATTATCAAAATACTACTGCTATATATGCTAACTAGAGTAGACAAAACCGCCACTACAAGTGAGAAGCACATAACTGGATCTGTCCCCGGTTCGGAACCAAACCACACAGTATCGTCAAGCTTTGCTTCCTCCTCCTGATCAGGCAAGGTTCCGTCAGCTATGCAATTTAGCAAATCCTCCAGCCAGCTCTAAGCTACCTGATTTAAGGGTAGGACGGTGATAGGCGGGGAAGCTGATATGCTTGAGGTTGTCATCTCCTCAACCCGAGCAATCTTGGAGATGTGCTCGGGTAATCCCTGTGACAAACGAGATTAGAGGTCAGCATCCGCATTCTGGTTTCGTGGAATGCAAACCAGCTCTGCTTTCTTGAACAACTCGAGCAGTTCCATTACAACATCCCTATACTTTGCCATCCTTTCTTCTTTTTCCTCAAAATCTCCATTGACCTGGGACACAAGTAGCCGGGAATCGCCCTTCACTGTAATCCACTCTGCTTGCATGGCCGCAACTAGTCGTAGCCCAGATAGTAGGGCTTCATACTTTACCTCGGTATTTGATACTTTGAATAAGTAATAGTAAGCATAGTAGGCTCGGAATCCCACGGGCGAGATGAGGACAACTCCACCGCTGCCGCCTTTTATTCCGGACAACCCATCAGTCCCTAGCGTCTACCACTGTTCTTCATTGTCCCTTTACTTCTCCATCACCTCTCTTGTCGTGCATTCCTTTTTATGGATGATCGGGGTTGGAAGTCTACTTTGTATGGGTTGAGAAGCATCGACCATTTCACGACCCGAGTTGTCCCGAGAGTCTTTAGTGCTGCACCTAGAGGTTGCTCCGACAAGACTTTGATCGGGTGTGCCTGGAAGTAATGAGTCAACTTTTTTCCGTGACATAGACTGCATAGATAGTCTTCTCTAGTGGGGTGTACCGAAGCTCAGCATTATGGAGAGCCTTGCTCACGTAATAGATTGGGTGTTGAACGCCATCCTCTTCGCGAACCAGCACAAAGCTGATCACGCCCTGAAAAACTTCAAGGTATAGGATAATTAGTGTCTCCCCCTCTCCGGCTTGCTGAGTAAAGGTTCAGAGAGGAGGTACTTCTTCAAATTTTCAAGAATTAATTCCACTTTTGGTCCTGCGAGTTTTGTGTCAATTCCACCTTTAGTCCACGTCTTTTGATGTGTACTATTTAGTAGTGCATAAACGTCACATTTTAGAATGGTTTTACATTATGTTTACTTAGCTTTTGTACAATTACGGTGTAATCTTTATCTTCTAAAATCAAAGTAGAATTAGAAGATATTAAGATATTTTGACATGTAAGCAAAAACATGATGAAAAGAAGAGGAAGGGGCTTGGGAGCATAAGGAAGGAGCATTGGAGACAGGAGGGAGCCTCATGGAGGACAAAGAAATGTGAAAAATCGGATATGATTTGACCCGGAGATCATAAGAGATCAAATACGGCAAGTGAACATGGGAAAATCAAATTATGTCTTAGACCCAACCACCTCACCTCACCTCACCTTTCCTTCCTATTTAGAGACCAATTTAATCCCCTCTTTCATATACACTTTATTCTTGTAATTTAGGCGTAGTCTTTCCATCTTGGTTTTGATACTTTGAAGCTTAATGAATTGTAAGTTGTGAGTTATTTTCTTTAATCTTCTTCCTTGAATATTAATTTTTCCTTAATAGTATCTCTATAATAATGTTGGGGAGTGTTACTAAGATGACAATTAGTTAACATCTCGACATTAGTTAGAGTAGTATTTATTTTCTTCCTCTATATTAATGTTGGGGAGTGTTACTAAAATGACAATTAGTTAACATCTTGACATTAGTTATAGTAGGATTTATATCTTCTTTAATATTCTTCCTTGAATATTAATTAATTCCTATTCATATTTCATTTTAATGTTTTGAGCATTACTTAAAGGATCAACTTTTTTTTTAATTTTTTTTTTTGAACCCGGTTTAAGCCAAAAACCCGAGAGTTTTTGGGGTGAGGGCCAGGAAACACCTCACCAATTTATTAAAATTAGGAAAGTATACATAAGTAAGAGGGCTAGACCAAAGCTTACTCAATGAAAGATTACACAACATATGGAAAACTTACAGCATCAAACTTAAGAATACCAACAAATTGACTAAAATGATGACCATTGGTTTTGATGGACATGCTGTGGTAAGCAAGGAATTACGCTCCTCTATTAATTTTTGGATTAACGTAGGTGACCGACCAAGTGTCTGTTTTGACTTTTTTCTGGATTTTGTGGATCCTTGGCCAATATTTCCAATGTTGAAGTGAGACACCAGGCCAGCAACCCCTTCATAAACATTCCTATCATCAGCCTCAAAGATAACGTTAGTAGGCATAATGTTGTTTAAGAGATGGATGAAATAATCAAGGGCATCATAGGAAGCATTGGTTGTTTGGTTGTGGCTAGCCAAATGGGTTGCATGCCCAATATAACTTCCTTCATGATTACGGATGATGGCAGCCGAGCGGGTGATGTTGGACGTGAGCCTTCTGGTAGCCAAGTTAACTTTATAGGTGTTGATCGGCGGTTTGATCCAGCTGCTAAGAGTGGCAGTCTTAGGGCTCTTTCTGGGAGTTATCATCTGGATGTTAAAAGAGGCAGTGAGAATGGTGGCAGTGAGGGGTTTGGCAACCGAAATGGAAAAGATATCATATTTAATAGCATTTATAGCCTCAGGTATATGACCCTGTTTGTTATCATAAAGGACCTTATTACGGACCTTCCAAAGATGCCAAGTTACTATGTTGGGTAAAAGATAATTGAAGTCAATAATAGGGCCATGGTAGTCAAGGTACCAATTATTAATGTAATTAATGAAGGTACCAGACAGTCAAGGGCAGTAATTATCAACTAGTTTTGTCTTATATACTCCCTCTGTCCCAATATAAAAGGCACACTTTCCTTTTCGGTCCGTCCCAATATAAAAGGCACATTTCCCTTTTTGGCAAACAAAACAGTGCAAAACAGTGTCAAACAGTGCCAAACAGTGTCCAAACAGTGCCAAAGAGTGTCTAAACAGTGTCACACAGTGTTCAAACAGTGTTCACCCTTAAAATGTCTAGAAACGCAAATGTGCCTTTTATATTGGGACGGAGGGAGTATTAATTATTACTAGAACCGATCGACGAATACGCTTGTTAATCGTTCGATATTTTAACGGTAGTAAACTTGGATTATTAATGCATGCGTCTCATGGTTAATAATCTAAGGGGAATTAATTATATTAATTAAACCAATAAACCACTTGTGTTGAGGTTATCAATTTCAATCGTTTTCATCTCGACATGAAGATTTGATGACAAAAGAGCTCTAGGATTGGCTACAGGATCAAAAGAAGATGAATGGAGCTTGAAATCGGCGATCAGGATGACCTTCTGTCAATCGTTCAAGCATATCTCTTTGTAGAAGCTGTTAGTACCCAATTATGATGATTTTGATGATGCCACTATACTTTGCACTAGTATATTGTGTCTAATTTAATTCGTGCATTAGTATTTAAAGTTATCCAAAAGTGACAAAACAAATGTACAATTTTTGTACCAAATAAAATATACTGGAAAGAATAAAATGCAATAAGGTAAAAATGTCTTTACCTTACATGGATGTTTAAATCCAACCAGTATAATTTTATCTGATACATAGATCAATCATGTCACGTCAAAAGATCAACTAGTAAAATATGTGACAAATTAATAATGTAATATTTTGTACCAATGAAGTTGTACTGGAAAGAATAAAATGCAATAAGGTAATTTACCTTAATATGATATTTAAAATCCTACCAGTACAAAATTTAATTGATACAAAATCACCCAAAGTCACAATTTTACTAAATGAACGGTTACTACACGAGTGCAGTTGCAAAGTAATGCCAAAGCCTAATTAATAGGAAAACAGCGTGTAGAAGACCTATGGTATGGGCCAACATATCCTACGTACAAGTTGATCCTCAACCAGCACCAAAGACAAAAGCCTTATCCTGCTCTTGACACAAGAAGACGAAAGTACAGCTCATCTAACGTCAAAAATTGAATCCTTTTAACCAACGGAGGATATCAATCAACTGAAGATGCCTATAAATACAGGCATAAGCAGGAGAAGAAAGATAAGCTTCTGAGTCTTCTAAGCAAAAAAAAAATACATTGTATTCAAAGAAACATCCAGCAAAAAGAAGGTGCAAGTTTAAATTAGCCCTCTGCTTAGACTCATCATGCTTCTTTAAACTTCTAAGACAAGAACTCTCATCTTTATATTCGGGAAGTTTAGATCTTAGTTGGAGGTTAGAAATTTCTATGTATTGTTACAAGTTGTTGTAAACACTTAGGAGAACAGTTGTTCGGATCCTAAAGTGTGGTTAGATAGATAGAGTACCTTTTGATCCCCACTGGATCAATTGAGAAAAGTCTAAGGACTGAGTAACTTTGAGTGGTGTTATACTCATTGTGAAAAACCTTCAATCTAGGCATAAGTGTTGTAAAGGCTAGATTGGCACTAAGTGTATTGGGCTTAATACTTTAGTGGAAATCCATCTGAAATAGGGTGGGACTGGATGTAGGAGGATTACACCACCTCTGAACTAGGATATATCGTGTGTTGATTATCTCTTACTCAACAGAGCACATACCGAACACTTCTCATTAAAGGGATCGTAGTTTGCCAGCAGCATCCTAAGGAGTAGTCTTAGTTTGACTCTATTGCCTATCCTACTGCTTAATAACTCACTTTTCCTTAAGACAACTGTTTCACACGAGCTTTGAATATCACTATTAAAAGGAGTGGTCTGTCAGTCCTCAAAGATACTTCTTACATACGCAGCAGACGGCTTAGCAGTTCCCTGGGTCTACCCAACTGCTCAGACCCCTGCTCAGGCAAAACTCCTTATTCTCTTTAGCTCAACACATATTCAGAAAGTCCTCATCATTCTGTACAAGGCCATATAATCATTTATTCCAAACTCCTGTTTTCCACTAGCAGTTGCCTCAGCAGTTTCCTGCCATCCAGGCAACTGCCAAGCCAACTGCTCACTGTTCAAAGTCCAAACATCATTTAAGCTAGAAAGCTGTCACACATTAATCATAAAGAGGTTAAAGACTTTCGTTGTGCATCTGGAAATCTCCCAAAAGATTACAGATCAACTCATCTAGAAGGGAAAAGTTTTAAAGTTGAAAAAGCTTTAACAGTCTATTCACCCCCCCTCTAGACTTTTACCTCTATCAGGGACCATCAGAAGCATTCAAAGGACACGACTCAAGTTGCATATGAAAGCTAACTTCAAGGTCTACAAATCATATGAATACACCTTTGCGAGAATCTGAAAGAAAGAAGGTGAAAACAGACGATTACGTCAGATGATCTCTGTTGCGATTTCAGAATGATACCTTCCATCCTTTTGATCATATCTCTTTATTGGATGATTCAAATCACATTCGGCAAATTGGGGTGGATAGAGGACTTCATTATCTACAACTTTATGAAGGAAGCATTGCCAAATTCGGAAGTTAAGTAGGCACGATCGTTCCCTCAAAGTCAGGCATGATCGTGCGTGAAGAGAAAGCATCGCGGAGTTACTGCCAGCCAGGCACGATCGTGCCTGGAGGGAGGCACGATTATGCCTGCCCAAAATGCGCGTTTTTTCTCCGGGGGCAAGATCGAAGTCACGATCGTGCCTGGCATCGTGCCTGTCTCCGGAAATCCCAATTCAGCTCAAATCTGACCCGATTTTTCTATTTAAACAGCCTGTAAACCCACGTGATGAAGGGGGGAGCTTGGAGAGAGTGCCTAGCACGAAATTTGGAGGGCTTTTCAGCCTTGTTCATCAATCTTTTGGTATTCTTTGTAAGTTCCATCTTTTTAATTAATGACAATTAATTCTATTCTTCCCAATTATTCTATTGATTCTTCAATTATGAATTGTGAGTAGTTTAATTAGGGATTGAGATTGATGAAGGGCTTGATCGTGATGTATGGCTAGTTTCTTGATGAATTAATTGCATGAATGCCTTTTAATGTGTGTTTGAATAATTTAACTGATATCTTTTATAACCTAGAACGCGCGCTAGAATTACAATTGCTTGTAGAATAAATTAAGAGAGATCTAATTTATTCTAGGACACATTCACACACACTAAATAGTTCGTTAAGAGATTAGTAGCGATAAGGGGCCGTAAGCTCGCTCGTCTTGGCAATAATTTAGGATCCTGTCGCGTGAGAGATCAGCCTGGTCCCCTAATTTATTATACTCTACGTCGCGAGAGCGGTAAGAACTTAGTAGTGATTAGCTAGGCTCAATTAAATTAATTTCATGTAATTAGGCCTGATCAGACAGAAATCTGGTTACCCCGGAATCAATCCCTGTTCCCTTCGTCATTAATTAGAAAGAACCCCCTAGTTTAATCGTTTTATTCGCATTTTTATTTTCCAGCAACCAATCTCGCACGACACATTTAATTTATTTATTTTTAATCGCTGAATTTAATTAATTCTTGATTCCCTTTTGTCCGTCCCTGTGGAGACGATACTCGTACTTACACCACTATATTACAATCTTTTTAAGTGCGAGAAAACTCACATCAATTGACTTGCTTGAGATCCTTCCTTATGCTCCGAAGCTCCTTCCTCTTCTTTTCATCATGTTTTTGCTTACATATCAAAATATCTTAATATCTTCTAATTCTACTTTAATTTTAGAAGATAAAGATTACACTGTAATTGTACAAAACCTAAGTAAACATAATGTAAAACCATTCTAAAATGTGGTGTTTATGCACTACTAAATAGTACACATCAAATACCCCCATGCTTAATCTTTTACTCGTCCTCGAGTAAAGTGCAATTCGATTGACTTCAATGCTTAGGAGTGTCATGTTTTTTGTCACATTTAAAATCGGTTCCTTCTCCCAAGGTTTTATCTGTTCATGCTCCCCATGCTAAGCTTTTTGTGATAGTCTCCTTTGAATATTTTGAGAAGCTCTTTAAAAGCACCCGATCGCGTATGGCCTGTACCTGATCCGGTATCTTGTTGTTTGAACTAACACACGAAACTTTCTCCTGCAAAAATTAAAATTTAATTCGCTTTCTCTCATTTTGTCTAGGAGTCCTTTTCGGGTTTTCATCCTAGCTCCTCATTTTTTCTTCATCTCACTGACAAATGGAGTTAAGTTGGGAATATGGATTTGGGATGGAGTAGAGGATCAAAGTGTGTACCCGCTCTTTTCAATTTATTCAAGGTAAATAAAAAAACATAAAAGAAAATTAAAAACAAAATTACACAAACACACAGTTAAAAAGTATAGCCTTTCCCCGGCAACGGCGCCAATTTTGACGAGCACTTTGTCGTAGTGAGCCTCAAATTAAATTCACTACTAAGGGCTAATACCGTAGTATAGCGTAGTAGAGTTCGTATCTACAGGGAAAGGAGCTTTTCGCGTATGTGTAAGCGTAATAAATAAAAGTAAACGGAAGGGGGGATTGGATATTTTGATAATTGAGAAAACAAATAAAATTCTTAAATGACTGAAATAAAATATCAAAGGTAATTAGTCTTGGTTTTGCTTTTATCCACTTAATGAAATGTTCGTCGATCCCGGTTATATCTTTAACTATCTTCCTCTCGAATACTCAATCGAGGAGTATATCCAGTTCATCGAGGGTAGTTACGTTATTAATAACGAGACGCGTTCATTAATAAAACTTACTACCGAATTAATATAAAACACGCACCATATATTTACTCGATAGTAGCAATAAATTCAAGATGAAAACGATTGAAATTGATAACCTCAACACAAGCGATTTATTGGTTTAATCAATATAATTAATTCCCCTTAGATTATTAACCATGAGACGGATGCATTAATAATCCAAGTTTACTACAGTGAAAAGATCGAACGATTAACAAGCGTATTCGTCGATCGATTCTAGTAATAATTAATATATGAGACAAAACTAGTTGATCCTTTAAGTAATGCTCAAAATATTAAAATGAAATATGAATAGAAATTAATAAATATTTAAGGAAGAATATTAAAAAGATATAAATCCTACTATAACTAATGTCAAGATGTTAGCTAATTGTCATTTTAGTAACACTCCCCAACATTAATAGAGCGGAAGAAAATAAATACTACTCTAACTAATGTCGAGATGTTAACTAATTGTCATTTTAGTAACACTCCCCAACATTAATATAGAGATAGTATTAAGGGAAAAATTAATATTAAAGGAAGAAGATTAAAGAAAATAACTCACAACTTACAATTCATAAAGCTTCAAAGTAGCAAAACCAAGATGGAAAGACTACCTAAATTACGAGAATAAAGTGTATATGAAAGAGGGGATTAAATTGGTATCTAAAATAGGAAGGAAAGCGGTGTTTTTATAGGAGAAGTGAGGTGGTTGGGTCTAAGACATAATCTGATTTTCCCATGTTCACTTTCTTTATTTGATCTCTTATGATCTCCCGGTCAAATCATATCTGTTTTTTCACATTTCTTTGTTGTCCATGAAGCTTCCTCTTGTCTCCAATGATCCTTCCTTATGCTCCCAAGCTCCTTTCTCTTCTTTTCATCATGTTTTTGCTTACATATCAAAATATCTTAATATCTTCTAATTCTACTTTGATTTTAGAAGATAAAGATTACACCGTAATTGTACAAAAGCTAAGTAAACA